GATCATCAATGGGGGCTTCTTCACCCTGAAACAAAGAAAGAAAAGAAAGCAACAGTAAGTACACCTCATTTTTAGTACCAGAAAATTAAATGTAGAGTCAGCCTACTGCAATTCGCAAAGCATAAAGACAGAATATTAATGTTATAATCTATTAATTAGATTGAAAAATTGAAAAAAGATAGTTGATGCATATTCTAATAGAATTGTTCATAACCTGTCGCTTGGTGTATTCCTGAGCAATCTCTCCAGCCAAGTTCCTGAGTTTACAATATATTTTAAAATAATGAGTATAATATAGATAATACCTTATAAAATCTTTTTCCCTAGAGCCATTCTGGACCAAAAACCATGTTACAAATGTCGAATAGCAGTAGAATGTTGTGCTAACCGTAGACTCACCTTACATACTCATGGCCCCATGAACCAATATCACCTTCTGAACCTAATAATCTGTATTTCAGGCTTTCCTGATAAAATTTGGCAAGCAATGATTTATATGTAAGTGTACGAACAAGTAATAGAGCTAGGATAAGACATAAGCATAGACCATAAAAACACCTGACATGGAGACGCCAATAACAAAGAGAATGCTCAATACACATGATAGTCAAACAAATAAACTAAACAAACAAATTGGGTCAAATATTAAAGAAATCAGACAAACCCGTTCTCCCTCTGCAGACATTGTCAGTGCTAAGACTGATAGTATGTCTGCCAAGTATTTCTGCAATTGAAAAGGAAGTGAAGTTACAAAATTTTTTTAAAAAAGAAATCAACAATGGGTGACAATAAATGGACATGACCATTAGAACAACCTTTAAATCCGAGTCTGCCATTGTTTCATAATAAGCTTTCAAAGTTCCATAATGTGGGCGAAGGAACTTTAAAGGCTTTGGAACAGAAGTCATGGAGCTTGTTGAGGTCCGTATTTCCTGCCTAGAATTAAAATTTATCAAATAAGTTCAAAATATGAAACCATGAAATAATATACCCTACACATAAACCTATTCAACCTGATATGCCAATTTATATTACAATTGAAAACCTCTACGATCAGTGTAAGACACCTCGAAAGTAACAATTAAAGTATTAACTGAAATATAAATAATAATGCGAACCTCATACTCTCAAGGGCAACTTTCTGCAACCCAGGATCAGAATCCTGAACTCTCTCCACGTACAACTCCAACTGTTGCTTCAAGGCCAGATCCTCTTCCGACTGTGCACACAATAACCAACATCAGATCAATATCCAACAGACTACGGGGAACATAAGGGAGAAAACTAGCATCGTAAACGAACTAATCTAATTATTCCCTTTGCCTTAATTTGCATAGCAAATAACTAACTTCTAATAAGTACAGAACTGACTTAAGCAAACTTTAGTAGACAAATTTCAGAGGAAATCAAAAACATTATACAACGAAGCCATCATCCGTCCAGTTTTAGTTCGGACTCTCTGAACCTAGCCCGTAACAAGCGAAGAATTCAATTGACCATACCAGATCCTCCTCCTTCTTGTCGTCCTTCTTCTTTGGGTCCTTCGATGGGACCTTCAGAGTAGCCTCCTCCCGTTGGGAGCTGTTATTGGCACCGCCACCAGCTGAGCCATTTGGGTCACGCGCCATTGTGCAGAGAAAAAGTCTAACAGAATCAAAACCCTCGAATGGAAGCGAAAGAAGACACAGAAGGCAGACGAAGACGGAGAGCAAGGGGAGTGAACTATCAGTCACAGAATTCGAAATGGAAGAAAGGGTTCCTGGTAAAAATGGATTGTATCTTCCGCAGAAGAATATAAGCAAAAGCGAAAAATTGCTTTTCCTCCTGAGCAAGAAACTGCAACTGGGGTGTGTAGGGGGTTTTCTGTGCCCCGAAGACGGGTCGGGTTAAATCCGATCCTAATCTGATGGGCTCTCTGTGGAGATCTTGTGGCCCAATATGCGAAAAGGCCCAAACGAAATAGGGCCCAACAGCTGACCCAACAAGGTAGACGTTGGGTAGCCCGTTGGTACTGGGCTCGTTTTATGGGGTTTAGCCCATAGAATCATCGGCCTAGAAGCTGTGATGTGCCTCGTTTCGATATGTCGCTCTCGTCTAGCAATTCACCTATTTTGCTTTGATGAGCGAAAAAGAGGAAAGTGTCAATTTTTGTATTGAATATATAGACCGTTGCAAAAAATATACATATGTAATAAACATTTTATTTCATTTTGAAACAATGGTATAATTCATACTTTCTTTAAATTTATCAATTAGAAGAACATAACTAAGAAATTCATTATCATCCCATAAACTATATAATTCTTCTTCTACTTTTTTTTTTCTTTTTTTTTTATAAAAGATTAAAGTAATAGAACAGTTCACAATGAACTAAATCCATCAACCACATTGGAAAATCTTCTCCTCCATTGTGCTTCCACCCTAGATTGCCTCCTTCATCTTCGACTCTCTTCGCAAGCTCGTTAACCACCAAATTTGAATCATTCAATGCATGTTGTATCATCAGGCCCTTGTTGTTGACACGAGTAAAACAATGTATTCAATAACTCAATGTATTTCTATAAGGCCTCATTCTTTATCATTCAAGATATTTATGACTCGTAGGCAATCTGATTCCCAACAAATCGACAAATTCTCCTACTTTGTAATCGTTTTTTGTCCTTCACATATGGTCATGACTTAAAAAATTTTGATGTCTTGCTTTTGAACAATCGAACAACTACCTGCTAAAATTGTTTCACCTCGCCAATTGCGTATAATCCAACCTAGAACGTCGCACCTTTGAGCGTCATACCAGGATGCATCACAGTTAAGTTTCCAACAATTTATTGTGGGCGAAATTCAATTTTGCAACGTATTGTTGTGCATTTCGTTCATCAGGTATCGATTCCGGCCCTTCGAGTCTCTGATCTAGTAGATGCTCCATAGGCATAAACCTTAATAAAAATGGATTAGTGCATAGATGGTCTATTTAGGAATCATGATTACCTAAAATGATGGAAAAGTATAGAATTTACCCCTTTGTCATGAAACAATCTCTATTTAGATGGTACCCATGACACAAATTACTAATATATATATCACCATATTAAATCATTATTAAAATATAGAATTGGTAAATCATTATTAAAATATATTAAATCTTTCAAATTGTGCAAATTAAACTTTCCAAAACTCAAAAATCTCAAACCCCCCAAATATTTGTAATCTCCGTTCTTCTCCCTTGATTTTCTTTCATTCTTCCGACTGTCGGGCTTCTTCTTCCTCTGAAATCTTCATTCATCTTCTTTGACATCGTCTCTTTATCCGGTGTTCAATGGAACTATAATCGGGGCTCTCGCGGGTGTTCGATTTCGTTGTTATCGCCCACTTGAGAATGATGAATCTCACATTTCTGTTGGTAATAACGGAGGAGAAATCGGGGGTTGACCCATCTTCAAGCTTAGGCAAGAACCCCAAATCTTGACATACTTGGACKCAGAGGCGGTCGAAGGTGTGGCCAGAGGAGACCACAACTGGKTCCGCCATTAATGAGTTGGAAATCGGGCACAGACACTCTTGGGGATATTCTTTGGAGCGTCCGGGCTTGGATTCTGATGGAGATATGTGGTGAAAGAGCGAGAGTTTGAGCCTGTGATTACCAGGCCAACCATGTTTGAACACAAAAAGGGGAAAATGGAGAAGTTTCTTCAAAGGTAAGAGAATGGGCAGGCTGAAAATGGGGAAGTTTGAGCATGAGCATTTCACCTATTACCGGTAGTTTCTACTAAATTTAGGTTTCAATTTTGGACATAATCAAGGTACATTTCTTGCTCTTTGGTCCTATTGCTACTGCCAAATATTATTTGGCATATACGAGTATATAGTTCTGATTTTTTTTGTTTAAAATAGTGTATATGTGAGTATATATAATATAGTGTTTATAGTAGGATATATATTGTAACTCAAGTTTTATGTATCTAGATATATACCGGTAATACAAGTGCTACCTCCATGACATTTATAAAAGTACATTTACTTACCTACGTGAGTATAAATTATATCTTATTTAAAAGACGTTTATACATAATGTTAATAGTAGATTTCAAGAGTACAAATAAATTATATTTTATAATAACGAAACAACATGAACATAATTTAAACTCATATATAGAAATAGCTAAACTGTAATCATAAAATTGATTTCACTAAAACAAAAACACAATAAAAAATGTGAATGACATTGGAAAAAATTCAAACAGTATGAGTATTGAATCAACTGTACACCTGAAATATTGAAGTAATCGAATAAAAAACTAAAACCTAAAGAATGGGTATAAAGAAGCACCGTAGCAGTAGGGTGTGAATGAACGAAAAGGTATGAATAAAAGAAGGGTACCAGTAGCACGAATCAACAGAAATGGGGATTATGAGATTTAGATATTTTTTAATTAATAATATTGGTAAATAAAAAAAATCGATTTGAATGAGTGAATTAAGGGATTTAAATTGAAAATTTAGATGAGACCCACCTTAATTAAAAATTGTGATATTAATTTATGAAATTAAATATTTTATATTTCAAAAAAATATAATAAATGTAAATGTAATAAGTAGGGATGAATTTGGAATTAAAATAAAATCCTACCTGCATAAATAAAATTAAAACAATGCATAAATCTTAAAAGTGTAAAATTAAAACAATTTATGTATTTACGTGGATAAGTTTCTAAAACAATCATATTATTTCTAATAAAAATCATAAGCATATAGCAGAATTCACGAGTGAAAAATGAATTTAAAAAATTAAACAATAATACTCGAAATAATTAAAATAAATTTCTCTCTCTCAAGAGCGTTAAAAGAAGCTATAATGTTGCCAAAACGAGCATAGCTCAACGGTAATTGACGATAATATATAGTGTGGAGATGGGACAAAAATTGATTTTTTTTCTTTTTAATCTACCCGTCGTTGCGTAAATTAAAATTCATTTTCCAATTTCATTCATTAACTACAAATCTTTTAGAGTGGAGAGAAACCATGACTGAATTTCAATAATTAAACTAAAACACAGATCTGATATGGAATCTAAATCTCATTCTGGAATTTTCTTCCAAAATGGAAACACAATTTGCCTGTATCACTTTTTTCTATAAAATTCCCATCTGTTA